TGGCAATAAAGCCCTAGCCCGTTTGGCTCAATGGATAGAGCATCAGCCTTCGAACTCAAGGGTCCCTGGTTTAATTCAGGTCAAGGACATGTACCGTGGTTGCAGGCACATCCCCAGTAGGGGGTATGCAGGAGGCAGCTGATTGATGTTTCTCTCTCATCGATGTTTCTAACTCTATCCCTCTCCCTTCCTCTCTGTAAAAATAGCAATAAAGTATATATTTAAAATGGCAAATAATTACCAGGCAATAATAACCCTAAATGTAAATGGATTAAATGCTCCAATCAAAAGGCATAGGGCAGCTGAATGGATACAAAACCATGATCCAACTATATTCTGTCTACAAGAGTCCCACCTCAGAACAAAAACAGCCTAGTACTGACACAAGAATAGGCATATCTACACTAATAAAAGAGAAAGATGCAAATTGACCATACCTCCGACAAGCTTCCCATTGGCTAATCAGGGAGATATGCAAATTAACTGCCAACCAAGATGGCGGCCGGCAGCCAGGCAGCTGAAGCAAGTAGGAGGCTTGCTTGCTCCAGTGATGGAGGAAGCCAAGGTTCCCCACCTGCCGCTGCCGGCCTCTGAGCTGCACTCAATAAGAAACAATGCTGCAATTATAGAAGCTAAACAAACCCCAGAAACCTGCTTTCAGCCAGCCGGGCTGGGAGCTGGAGCTGCAACAGTGTTTCAATTATAGAAGCCAAACAAAACCAGATACCCTGCTTTCAGCAGCCAAGGTCTCAGAGCTGGAGCCAGCCTCAGAGCTAAAGCCGGCTCTCAGTTCCAGTGACAGCCATAGAAGGTAAATAAATCCCAGAATTAAAAAAAAAAAAAAAGAAGAAGAAGAAGAAAAAAAAAAGGAGAGGTTGGGAGCTTCAGTCACCCGCCAGCCTGAAAACAGCCCTCAGCCCCTCACCCAGACTGGCCAGGCACCCCAGTGGGGACCCCCACCCTGAAGGGGGTGTGACTAGCTGCAAACAGCCATCATCCCCTCATCCAGGCTGGCCAGGCACCCAAGCGGGACCCCCACCCTGATCCGGGACACCCTTCAGGGCAAACCAGCCTGCCCCCACCCGTGCACCAGGCCTCTATCCTATATAGTAAAAGGGTAATATGCACCTGACCCTAACAGCAGAAGGACTGGGAATGACTGGTCACTATGACACACACTGGCCACCAGGGGGCAGATGCTCAATGCAGGAGCTGCCCTCTGGTGGTCAGGGCACTCTCACATGGGAGGAGCTCTGCTCAGCCACAAGCCAGGCTGATGGCTGCCAGTACAACGGTGGTGGTGGGAGCCTCTCCTGCCTCCTCAGCAGCGCTAAGGATGTCCAACTGCAGTTTAGGCCTGCTCCCTGCTAGCAAGTGGACATCTCCCGAGGGCTGCCGGGCTGCCAGAGGGATGTCTGATTGCCAGCTTAGGCCCAATCCCCCGGGGAGTGGGCCTAAGCCAGCAGGTGGTCATACCCTGAGGGGTCCCATACTGTGAGAGGGCACAGGCCCAGCTGGCTGAGGGACCCCCCCACCCCCCGCCTCCCGAGTGCACAAATTTTTGTGCACCAGTCCTCTAGTACTAGAATAATGGAACAGAATAGAGAACCTAGAAATCGAACCAAGCCATTACACTTAATTAACATTTGACCAAGGAGGCCAGAGCATAGAATGGAGTCAACAGTCTCTTCAATAAATGGTGTTGGGATAATTGGACAGACACATGGAAAACAATGAAACTACACCACAAACTTACACCATACACAAGAATAAACTCAAAATGGATAAAAGACTTAAATGTAAGTCATGAAACCATAAAAGTCTACTTACTGAAAGAAAACTTGGCTGTGAAACTTGTTTTATGCGGGCAGCAGCCTCTGGCTGTGAAACAGTTTTATGCAGGCAGCAGCCTCAGAGGTCTTGTGTTGACTGTGCCTTCTGATTGCATCATTGCCTCCTGGGCTTGATGAATCTGTTTTTTGTAAATTTCCTGGCCTAAGTGTACAGTGTCATAAATTCTACAGTCGGGTACAGTAATGTCGTAGGTCTTCATAATCACTCACCAATCACTGACTCCTGCAGAGCAGCCTCTAGTCCTATTCAGGGTCAGTGCCCCACAGGGATGTACCATTTATCTGGCACGCCGCATTTTTACTGCACCTTCTGAATGCTAACTACCATTGCATTACAACTGCCTACAGTATTCAGTACAGTAGCATGTTGTACAGGACTGTTGTCAAGGACGCACAGGCCATACCACATAACCTAGGTGTGTAGTAGGCTATGATAGATCCTTCCTTCCCCCAACTGATGGGCGGAGTACGACGTAACCTGCAGCCCGGAAATACCGGAGTGAATAACCATGTACCTTACATTGACTATACATTGGACCACCAATCCACACCTGCCAAATACCCTAAGCCCTTGTTCCTATATGGACCATACAGTAAGCTACCAATCAGTGTGCGCCAAGTACACTAAACCCCAACCCCTTCCCATTGCGCCCTTCAAAAGGCGTGCCCACCTCTGCACATGCTGTTGTTCTCCCCTTTGCCAGACAGCCCTGCAGGTGCTTCCTTCTAATAAAGCCTGTAGTCCTGGTTTTCGGCCTCTGTCTGATTTTTTCAGGCTACACCATGCAGGTTTGTGTAAGAGAACTGAAAACAACAAAATTGCCTCAGGATGTCCTCCCCAGGTTCAGGGGTGCATGACTGTATGTAACTGAAGTTTCAACTTCTCCCAGGACTAAAATTTCAACCCAATCACTCTGCAACTTGCTGTTCAACACTGATCTGTCTAAAGGACTCTTGATATTCCTTCCCCTAAGGAAAGGTGACCCTGCCTGAAGCAATCCTTTCTTTTCTTTTGCTAATAACCTCTCAAAGCCACTTCCTTTCTGCCTATTGTAAAAGCCTTCCATTTTGAACAGCTTCTGTGAGATTCCATTTACTAGATGGGATGCTGCCCGATTCATGTGTGGGCCACAGTGGCCACATGCTAACCTCACAAGCTCAGGGAAGGCCTCAATGGCGGTCTTGCAAAGTCAGAGACCTAAAGTAACCAGACAGGATGGTCTGAAATTAAACTTTAACTAAAAGCAGTTATGGTGGGTAGTTACATCCTAGGACTGTATCTTCACTGATGACAAGGTAAACCTTTACCTTAACTGAACCCATCTGTGTTTTTGCATCTATAATAACACAAGAGGTCGGTTGGTCGGATGCAAGAAATTCGTGCAAGAGTAGGGCTCCCTTCCCCCGGCTGCCAACACCAGCTTCGCTCTGGCACCTGGGACCCAGGCTTCTCTTGCCGCCCTGGCTTCATCCGGAATGTCCTCAGGAAAGATGTCTGGTCTAATTAGCATATTACACTTTTATTATTATAGAAACCCTTGAAATGTCTGGGTAACTTGTAACCTCCCTTTTTCCAGACCCCTTGGGGCACAACTTAAAGTGCCTAGGTGACAGGACAGATACCACAAATTCCTTCATCGTTATCATGTTAATTGTTCCAGCACCCACCTAAGTATGTGTCTACCATTTTACACTTTATCCAATCCCAGAGTCCCCCCGCCCTTTGCTTTCTCCCGCCTCTCTAATCAATCACCAGTGGATTTCATGTAACCCAAGTAAGTCCCTTCCTTTGATTTCAAAATATAAAAATATAAGAGAAACCGCCATTCCCTGGAGCATTATCCCAACCCGTTGAGATACTGCTTCCCTGATACTGTTGACAGTTTGGCTCAAATAAACTCACAAAAATTCTTAACAGTGTGGACAAAAGGGGCCACATGCTGACCTGACAAGCTCAGGGGAGGCCTGCATGGTAGTCTTGCAAACTCAGAGACCTAAAGTAACCACAAAGGATGGTCTGAAATTAAACTTTAACTAAAGCAGTTATGGTGGGCAGTTACTTCCTAGGCCAGAATCTTCACTGACAAGGTCAACATTTACCTTAACTGAGCCTATCTGTCTTTTTGCAACTATGATAACATACTCTTGAAATGTCTGGGTAACTTGTAACTTCCTTTTTTTCTGGAGCCCCTGGGGCACAACCTAATTTGTTGGGCACCAGAACAGATACCACAAATTCCTTCACTATCATGTTAATTGATCCTGCACCCACGGCTGAATGTGTGGGTTTTTTTTTCGTTAACATGTGAATGAGGGATCAAGCCAGTCAGACCTTCCAATCCGCTCAGTTGAATTTTGTGTTTAACTGTTTGAAAAGCACCACAAAACAAATAGCTGATAAAGATGCTGTGACTCAGAGAAGAAGATGGCAGTTAGGATTCGGGGGAGAGACTGGAAAAGCAGGCATTTGCTGCAGAGCTAGGCCTGGGGGACAGCGGGTGGACTTGAGAGCCTGCTCCACAAGCATCAAAACTCAAGAGAGCCCTGACCGGTTTGGCTCAGTGGATAGAGCGTCGGCCTGCAGACTGAAGGGTCCCAGGTTCGATTCCGGTCAAGGGCATGTACCTTGTTTGCGGGCACATCCCCAGTGGGGGAGTGTGCAGGAGGCAGCTGATCGATGTTTCTAACTCTCTATCCCTCTCCCTTCCTCTCTGTAAAAAATCAATAAAACATATTTTTTTAAAAAAAAAAAAAACTCAGGAGAAAACGGGGTCCTTCTGGGAGAAAGGAGGGACAGGGGGCCCCACAGACCACAGCTCCTCTGGTGCAAGAACCGCGGGGACTGAGTCA